ATCGTCCATAACTTGCGCTTTGAATATAAACGTACTGTCCTTCTTCGCATTCCAGTCGAATTGATAAGCCTTTTGGTTTGATTCCACATCTGTTTTCCGCTGGCATCTCGTCATAACACTCAGGCGCACTTCTACTTCAACTGCAGGCTCCAAGTCCTTCACTTCCTCATCTTCGTCTGGGAGAGGTGGTGTTGTCGCAGCAAAAGCTACCAAATGATAAAAAGCATTAGTATTTCACATGACAAGAAATGCACTATATACAAATATGAAACTAACGTGCAATATAATAGTATTTACTCAATAACAAAGTGTCATTAGTAGAAAGACACAGGACGTTTGGTTACCGTTGATGCGCTTCCCGTTGCCAATTGCGAAAATCATTACAGATAAATATAATTATAATTTTGTTATCTACAGAATAAAATGTCCATGTAATTACGTATGAAACAATGAAAGCATTACATCACTGTTATTATAAATTCCTTGTCATCGAAGAACAACTTTTATATAAGAGAGGTAAAACATATTTAGTGTTTGCAAGTCTAAATATGAACTTGATAATGACCAAACTAGCACAAAATTTTATATGTCGCATAGGTGACACAATATAAAAAGTACTTTGTGTGAGTTTTGAGTTTGTATTTCTGTGCACATAGAAAGTGTATGCCGGTCTGGTATAAGGTCATTTGTACTACAATATTGATAATATTAACTGCGTATTGACGTGTGAAAAAGGGTCACACAATCCATGAGTGTGTATGCATGGTAAAATTAGTAAATATTTCCATCCACATAAATAGGTATAAATTAAAGAAAATGAAAATGATCACCTGGAAATGCCTCTGGTGCTCCATCACCTGAATGTTAGGAAAAAGACATATGTTAAAAACTTGTTCACGAAAACAGCTAAACCTATATTCGTGACAAAGTTTTCAAGTAATCGCATACACACGTTTAATGCATGCAAAGTGTTTATGTTGTTGTTATATAACGGACAAATATTAAATGTTTGATCATATCCCCGTTTACCTACATGCACAAATACATTTTGTAAACAGGTGATTTGTACTCACATATTGCAGTGCAGCTATAATCAACAGTGAGAAATTTCTCAACTTTTTTCCCACATGGGTCACCGCCATGAAATTTCGATTTAAATGGAATGGTACATTTGTGCTTATTGTCACAAAGATCACGGATTGCTTGTAGCGACGTCGACGAAGTACATTCATC